AAAGTCCAGACACCCAAACTCTACGCGACTGAGCCGTACGCGCTGCCACAGCTCGCTGACCTCAACTCACGCGCCGGAAAGTGACGTCCATTCTGCGGCCAGATTTCCGATCGGAAAACGTCATCCAACTCGCCTGCATATCGCCTATCTTCTGTTGTAGCTTCTCTTTGGGATGGTTGCGTTTCTTTCCAGCTCTTCAGTACGCTGACGTCGAAAAGAGATCGTCCAGGCTACGCGGAAATCTTTTCTTCCTTCCAGGCTTCGTAACGGACATAGGTACGCTCCTTTGTCTGGCTGTTCTTCGTTGAGGTCTGGCACTCTGGCATCGACCCTCTGTCTGGATTAGCAGTAAAAGCCCAAGCAGCTGGATCTTTTATTCTCCAGGTTGAGTCCACAAACGGGCTGCTCAGTCAAAGCCCAATTTTATTCTCCAAGGTCGAGTCCACAAACTGGCTGCTGTAAGTTCTCATTGGATATCTCAATTTTGAACTTAATTACATTCTCATAAAAAAACAAAAACAAAAAAACAAAGAAAAACAAAAAAAACAAAAAAAAAGTAAAAAAAAATGTCTTGTACGGGTCAATTTGACAGAGGCGTAATATGCAATTACTGCAAGAAGCCCGGGCACTTGATTAAAGAATGTAGAAAATTGTTGTTCAAAAATCAAGGAAATCAGCTAGCTCATGTTGCTTCCGCTACCAGTTCATCTGATGGAACAATTGCTATTTCTTCATACGAGTATGCCAAATTTATTTGCTACCAAGAATCACTAAAGCATTCATCTGTCCCTACTTCAGTAGTTGCTAATTCAGGTATTTCAAACACATGTCTTGTCTCCTCATCCTCGAAATGGGTCATTGACTCAGGTGCCACAGATCATATGACTGGTAATCCTAGTCTATTCTCATCATTTCACACATATTTACCTACTTCTAGTGTCACTTTAGCTGATGGATCTACCTCACCTGTTCTTGGATCCGGTACTGTTGTCCCAACTTCTACATTACCATTATTACCTGTTTTGAGTCTTCCTAATTTTGCATTTAATCTGCTTTCCATCAGTAAAATCACACATACTCTTAATTGTTCTGTAACATTTTTTCCTGGATATTGTGTGTTTCAGGATCCGTTGACAAAGCAGACTATTGGTAAAGGACATGAGTCAGCTGGTCTTTATAGTTTGGATACGTCAATCACAAAAGGTATCTCTTGTCTTGGGGTTGGAAATCTATTAGAAGCTCATTACCGATTAGGACATCCATCTCTCCCACTAATGAAGCAAATATATCCTCAGTTTAATAAGGTGTCATCTATACAATGTGAGTCGTGTGAATTTGCAAAACATCATCGTATTAGTTTAAGTCCTCAACTTAAAAAACGAGCAAATGCTCCATTTGATCTTGTTCATACTGATGTTTGGGGGGCATGTCCTGTTGTGTCCAAATCTGGTTTCAAATATTTTGTTACATTTGTTGACGATTATTCTCGTATGACATTGTTATACTTTATGAAACGTCGATCAGAGTTATTTACTCATTTTTCTGCATTTTGTGCTGAAATTAAAACTCAATTTAATGCTCATGTTCGTGTGTTGAGGGGAGACAATGCCCAAGAATATCTCTCTGCTCCATTTAAATCTTTTATGCTTCAAAATGGCATTATTCATCAAACTTCATGTGTAGATACCCCTCCTCAAAATGGAGTCGCTGAAAGAAAGAACCGACATCTGTTAGAAACTGCAAGGGCTCTTCTATTCCAAATGAATGTGCCTAAACAGTTTTGGGCGGATGCCGTGTCTACCGCATGTTTTTTGATAAACCGTATGCCGTCTTTTGTTTTAAACGGTAAAGCTCCTTCTTATCACTCACTGCTTATTTCCAAATAAAGAGCTTTTTCCTATCCCACCTAAAATATTTGGTTGCACTTGCTTTGTTAGAGACGTTAATCCTCATCTTACAAAGTTAGACCCCAAATCATTAAAATGTATTTTCTTGGGTTATTCTCAAGTTCAGAAGGGGTCTAGATGTTTTTGTCCAAGTACAGGTCGATATCTTGTTTCCATTGATGCATCATTCCATGAAAATACACCTTTTTCATCATCCAAGACAGATATTCATGGGGACAATGATGAAATACTCATTTACTTTGTCACTATACCAGAATCTACACCTTCTATAGTTATTCCACATGTTAATGTTCCCGACCCCAGACCTCCAGTACACTTGGTTTACACCCGTCGAAACAGAGCACCAGATCACCCTCCACCATTGACACCCGTGATTACTTATCCTGATATTGGTCTGTCCTTGATCTCATGTCCTGAACCGGTACATGCATCTTCGGATCTTGTCTCTAAGTAAAGGTCTTGACCTTCCGATAGCACTAAGTAAAGGTACATGGTCTTGTACTCATCATATTTCTTCATTTGTGTCGTATAGTCAGTTATCCCCTTTCTCATGTTCTTTTGTTGCTTCCATCGATTCTATTTCTGTTCCCAAATCTGTTAAAGAAGCTTTATCTCATCCTGAATGGCGTCATGCCATGGTAGAGGAAATGAATGCTTTAGATCTTAATGGTACTTAGGATTTGGTTGACTTGCCTACAGGGAATAAATCTATAGGATGTAAGTGGGTCTTTGTTGTTAAGGTAAACCCAGACGGATCTGTTGCTCGATTGAAAGCTCGATTAGTTGCGAAGGGTTATGCTCAAACCTATGGTGTTGATTATTCTGACACTTTTTCTCCTGTTGATAAATTAACATCTGTCAGGTTACTTATTTCTCTCGATGCAACTCATGATTGGCACTTACATCAGTTGGACATTAAACATGCATTCTTGCATGGTGACCTTTAGGAAGAAGTTTATATTGAGCAACCTCCGGGATTTGTTGCTCAGGGGGGAGTTTGGAAAAGTTTGTCGACTTCGCAAGTCTCTTTATGGTTTGAAACAAAGCCCCCGTGCATGGTTTGGAAAATTCAGTCAATCAATTGAACGATTTGGCATGATAAAAGGTCAATCAGACCACTCTGTCTTTTACAGACGAACGAAAGCAGGTATCACATTGCTTGTGGTGTATGTTGATGATATTGTGATTACAGGGAGTGATACTGCAGGTATTTTGGCTCTTAAGAATTTTCTTCATAGCCAATTCCAGACGAAAGATCTAGGCTCATTGAAATACTTCTTGGGTATTGAGGTAACACGGAGCAAGAAAGGCATATTTCTATCTCAACGCAAATATGTATTTGACTTGCTAGCTGAAACAGGGAAATTAGGGGCAAAGCCGAGCAATACTCCTATGATTCCTAATGTACAACTCACTCATGAAGGTGTGTCGTTCGAAGATCCAGAGAGGTATAGAAGATTGGTTGGAAAACTTAATTATCTCGCAGTTACACATCCAGATATTGCATACTCGGTGAGTGTAGTGAGTCAGTATATGTCATCTCCCACAGTTGATCACTGGAATGTTGTAAAACATATATTATGTTACTTGAAGGGGACACCGGGACGAGGTATTGTTTATCAAAATCATGATCACATGAGAATAGAATGCTTTGCAGATGCTGATTGGGCTGGATCTAAAGATGATAGAAGACCTACATCTGGCTATTGCGTCTTTGTTGGTGGTAATCTTATCTCCTGGAAAAGTAAGAAGCAGAATGTGGTTTCTCGATCTAGTGCCGAATCAGAATATCGTGCTATGGCACAATCGGCATGTGAGATCATCTGGATAAACTATTTATTGAGTGAAATTGGATTGAAGACACCAATTGTCTGCTAAATTGTGGTGTGATAACCAAGCTGCTATACACATTGCCAACAACCCAGTGTTTCATGAGAGAACAAAACATATTGAGGTCGATTGTCATTTTATTCGAGAGAAGATACAAAAAGGATTGATCTCCAAAGGATATGTGAAGACTGGGGAACAACTTGGAGATTTATTCACTAAAGCACTAAATGGAATTCGAGTTGGTTATTTATGTAACAAGTTGGGCATGATAAATATCTATGCTCCAACTTAAGGGGGAGTGTGAAAGTATATTGGAATATACTTTAGAATATGCTTTAGAATATATTAGGAATATACCGTAGATATTATTATTGTATAGAATCTTATATAGGAATATTCTATTTGTAATGTATATTTATAGGGACTTCCACAACTAATGAAAAACACAGAAAATCCTTCTCTCCATCTTTAATAGCATTGTAGTTTATATTTCAACACTTACCAAGAGAGTACATCATGGTATTGAAAAATAATTGTTTGGTATAAACAACATTAACCTATACGTAATTACAGATGAAGAGAAAGTAAGGAACGGGGGCTAGATTGGGGTTGGGATACAAAGCCTAGTTTGATGTGCAAATAGAACTTTGAGACTTTCCAAAGACCATATCAGATTTGCATGTTGGTCTCAAAATACCAATCATGTAATATATGTATAATAAATAATACTTTAACTCATTGCTATCTCATTATATATTCCATACAAGTGGAAATGAGCTTAAGATGATGATGGTGTTAAAACTTTCATCGCATCATATTTCTTCTTACGAAGGTTGCCACAGGAAGGTCCTCCCATGTAAATAGTGCCATTATGCTATTCTTCCACGAATTAATAGTGCAAGTTATTTTTATACAATTAATCGGCACTACAAATCTAATGCTAGCGACACCAGATATTTGAGATTAAGATGATCTTGATGATTAATTGGACAAGGAAATAAATCTTTTATTCATTTCAGAAATGTGACATGTGGCAAAGGAAGACAAAGTTGAAAAAGTTCTGTTAAAATGCAGGCCTTAAGACTTACCAAGAGAGTACACCATGGTATTGAAGAATAACTGTTTGGTGAAAACAACATTAACCCACACGTAATTCCAGACGAAGAGAAAGTAAGGAACGGGAGCTAGATTGGGGTTGGGATATGTGAATAAGTATTATTATATTTCATATACTTAATTACAAATGCTATACAAGAAGGGAAAGGGACATTCTAATGGAAGATGATAATATGTATCGTAAACTCATAAGATATACCTTGTTAGCAATTGACTCTCTCAACCTCCTTAATGCTTCTGATTCACCGCCTTTAAATGGTGTCTTCTCATCCTGCAACTCCATAAGCACTGATTAGTGACTCCCACCACACTGCAAAAAAAGAGTGAACAAAAACCAGCAATGGTGACCGTACCTCGCTGCTGTCAATATAGCCTAGTTCTTCGAGCGTTGGTACAGATGAAACTTCAAGGTTCCCCAAGTTCCCAATCGGAGGAAGCGAGGACACTGATAATGTTGACAGAGGGGTCGATTCCCATGAAGGCATTCCCGACAGTTTAAGAAAGGATTGGTAACTAAGAGGTGGCCTTCCCCCATTCTATCCATAACATTATAGACATGGATATTGATATCAATTAATTAAAGCTCAGCAATCCACGTTTAGTACTTAATTAATTTACCTTACGCAAAATGTCTGCAGGGTTAAATAATGTATGACTCACAGGAGTGAAAATTTCTATTCCAGCTGCATAGATGCTGTTCTGCATAGAAAAATTCAACTGTCTGCCAACAAATATGCTCTCCATCGTGAAAATAATCAGTCAGAATATAATACCTGTACTTTATCATCTAATGCTCGGTAATAAGGTTCTATGTCATACTCAAAGCATAGCTTGTTTATTTTCCACTGCAAATCAGTAGAATGAGAAATAATCTTAAAAAAGAACTTCTATTAATTAAATAAGAATAAAGAGTAAAGTAGATTGACTTGCGGTCTTGCAAAATAAACACTGTTCTGACAAGCAGTCACTAGATGCCTTATACATCCATTTAGCTAGGCGTAAAAAACGTCCAATTGATAGCCAAAAGTGTGACAAGGCATAGCAATCTTAGACGTGTAAGGCATTTTAAGACATGAAAAGACACAAGTGAAAGACAGAGTTGTTTAGATAGATCAATTTATAAAAAGATGGGCTAACCCTAAAAAAATCACTAGTGTAAATATGCTGACTATATAATTTACTCCTAAAATAAACACAATTTTTGTGTTGAAATTGTTTATAATTTTAAAAGATATATATAACCGGAGCCTTGGCGCACCGGTTAAGGTGTTGTTGTGTGCCTGAGAGGTCACGAGGGAAAGGCTTGCTCCTTATACACCCTTGTGGTGGGACCCTTCCTTAGGCCCTCGCCTTACAAGGATACCTTCAAGCACTGGGCTGTCCTTTTTTATTGGAAAAAATAAATACCCGTATCTAATTGAAAAATGGCACGGTTATCGGTTATTTAGACAATTATTAAATAAGGTTATTCGAGCATATTTTGAGAAGTAATTTTGATAGGTATATAATATACTAAGGTAATTCATGATAGGTATTTTTAAATCATTTAAGAGTGCTTATTATTTCCTAAAATAGAAATGAAAACCTTTAGCTAAATGTCCAAAAGAGGAAAATGAGAAGCTTAAGTTGAGACAGAGGGAGTATTACGTTTAGACTTGTATAAAATTTGATATGAATATTTATTACGTCTCACTTAAAATACTACATAATCCCTCCTATCCTCATGTAGGATACATTTGGGTTTAAAATGGGTTTAAAAAAATAAAGATACAATTGATGTTTTACAATTGTTAAATTCTAAAAGTAAGATAAAATAGTACGAGTACAGGAAACTTAAAAGGGTGAAACAATTGCTTAAAGAATAGAGTCGAAAATTAAAATGTTAGTAGTAATCACTTTCGGAAAGTTTTCACATTTTTTGTTAACCCAAAAGTAATGTAGAGTGTATCTAACATAATACAATTGGGGCTGAGGGAGTATTAAAAAAACAGATGCTTGTCCGGGCTTCAAAATTTTGAGATCCTTACCTCTTTTAAGATACTATAATCAAATGGCTTTTACTAGGTTTTGAACCAAGTTTTTAGAGCCAGGAACTATCAGTGTTTAGAGTGAATAAACAATGTTATATTCTGTATAGGATACGGAAAAGCATAATAACAACTCCCTGCGTTTGGGGAGGACAGGTACTATCAATTTGGAACACCAAAAAAGAAAATCAGGGACTGTAATTTGTGAAGGACGGGGTAATTAATAAAATAGATTAACTAACCTCCCTCAAACAGCGAATCAAAACTTCGCTGGGCTCTCCTCTGAGGATTAACAGACGCGATCCTAGCTTCTTAAGGCTCAAGTCAAGATCAGTGAGGCTCTCTAACAAGAAACGGATCCTATTCAACCCGGCCCTAGAGGACCCGTACGAGAAAGCGGTCGGGTCTGGCTCCATATAATGCGGGTCAATCACAAATACCGGGAAGCATTTGGTCGCGCCTTCGGCTGCGTGGAGGAGAGCCGGGTTGTCGTGAATACGCAGGCCTTTCCGGAACCACATCAAGGAGCACGACTCTGAAGCCATGGAGGCGGTCAAGGGATGGTTTATGTCTATATCTATATGTGAATATATGAAATACTAGTAGCGGATAATGTGTAT